GTCACTATGTGCTTGTTTGTGCGAGGTGTTTTTTAATATCAGTTTTTCTTCTCAGGCAGGAAGAAAAAGTCTAATAGGAATTGTTTTGCCTCCAATTCCTACATGTATCCAGTTTCACTACTTTTTGTCTGTCCAAACAGATCTCACTTGTAAATGAGTCTTCTAGGCTCAATGTGAATTCTCTGTCTACATAAAGGTTGAATAAACCTGCTCATCTTTACAGTCTCGTGTGTGTAGTTTTATGTGGGTGATGTTAAAGACTGATTGATTGATCCTCACTTGAGTAAGGTGTTGCTCTCTTTCTTACAACTTGTCTGGTTACGTCTTCCGTCTCCCTCAGAAGACGCCCTCATGTGATGATCTGCTGACACGCCGTCCTCACCACAAGTCCAGATAATCAGATGTGATGTTGTGTTTCAGGCAGTGGAGGCTACGCTGATAACCTGTCAGGAGCCGTGTCCACAACAGGCCATGGAGAAACCATCATGAAGGTCACACTGGCTCGACTCATCCTATTCCACATGGAGAAAGGTAACACACACACTCATTCTCTTTAACTTCATCATTCTTCATTGAGTACCCCATACTGACAAAGTAATAACAATTTCAATAATTTTTAAACATAAAAAATATATATTTTTACATTTCCTTAAGTCTTCAAACACTTTAGACCTTGTGTTAACCTGCATATGGCAAATAAACAACATAAAAAAACCTTTACTTATCAGTTAAAGCACTCCTGGCATTAATGAACACCTTGGGTCTTTTGAGGTCTTTCCAGAGATGTTAGACAGGGTTCAGAGCTCCGGCTGGTCCACTCCAGGACATTCATAGAGTTGTCCATGTCTACTCCTGTGTTCTCTTCACTGTGTTCTTTTGGATTATGGTCATGTTGACCGCCCTCTCAGTTTCTGGCTGAACACCACGCCCACAGCATGCTGCTGTCACCACCATGCTTGACTGTGGGGTTGGTGTTGGACAGGTGATGAGTCACCAGACATAACATTTAGAATTAAGGCCAAACTGTTCAGTCTTGGTTTCATCAGACCAGAGAATGATGATAATCCTCAGAGTCTGAATTCTTGAGGGGATCAATGGGCCAGTACAGCCCAGACTGGTGAAGCCTTGCAGTTCTAGTAGTTCTGGAACCATTACTTGCAGGTTGAGTTTCAGGTAGTGATGGTAGAGCCTGTGTAACTAGATGTTGCTGTCTTATGTGATTCATGTAGTGTTTATACCTCATTTCCACTGAGGTGAAACTGTTCAGAAACCATTGAGTACTCATCACATTATCAGTGAGTGTTGTATGAGTATCACAAAGAACCACCTGGACATCAATAAATCATATTTCAAATAGCATACATTCAAGTTCTGCTTAATTATAGTCCATTTGGTCAATCCATTTGGATTGTCACTTGTCTTTATGTTCGCACCTTGTTTAGATGATACCGATGGAAGAAGAGAAAGTGAGGTGAGAGGAAATAGGTTCATTATCATAATGTTAATCAATATTCCACATAGGGCTGGGCGATATGTCGATATTTTTAAAATATTGAAATAATTTAATTCACGATATAAAATGAGATTATATCGCTATTAAACAATATAGTCTTATACTCTAATCTGCTATTTTTTTCCTCCCAATCTGCACCTTCATTGCACCCATCCTTCTTTTCCCTTACTGAATACAAACCCGCTCCTCCCGTGCCGTTTGCAGCACCTGAAGACCCTATTTGAGTTACAAAGCTGAGCTTAGATATGCAGATATATTTGTTGACTCACAGTGGGAGAGCACTGTAAATTCCTGATACAGTATAGCCCCCAGTATACTGCCGCGTATGTCCGTTCACGCGTACGTACGCGTGTACCGTATGCAGAGGATTCAGACTTCGTACTCCAGCGTACACCCTGAGCAGCTGCAGAGCAGCTTCACAGACAAGGGGCGTTTACCTTCGGGACAAATTGAGGTTGCCGATTGGTCATTTGCTGACACGCCTACTGGATTGATTGACAGGTCGGAAAAAAGAAAAAGCGAGCGCTGGCAGCCTCAGCCGCAGCGGTGTTCTGTGTTTATATGTTGTTAATAAAAAGATCTAAAAAAAAAAAAAAAACAGGGAGCGCTGGCTCTACAGCCCACACATCAGACCAGCCCACCAGGAAATCTCCAGACCCTCCCGCAGCCACGCTGGACCTGAGTTTAATTCGCTTGTGACAAATTCCTTAGTTTCGCACCATTTCAGTCACGGCATCAACGGAGGAGGAAGAGATCACTTTCCTCTTGGCAAAAAAACAAATGAAAAGGCCAGATCAGGGATGAAGAAGGGTAATTTAATATATTTGTGTCACATACAAAACAGTCCGTCGCTGGGCAGTTTATTGTGCGACACCGCGTATGCATATGCGGTCGTAAAAATTTGAGCTTTGCACGGACATGCCCTGGGGGGTACGTTCGTACCTCCGCGTACATACGTGCGTACCTCTGCATATGGATGTACGCGGCAGTATACTGGGGGCTTATGTGTTAAAATGACTGTGTAGCTGCTACAAAGCAGAGGTTTGGTGTTCTCCAGGAAATTAACTATTTTAGAGCAGCAAGGTATGAAGTTGTCTTCTCATTAAAAAACATGGAGACAAATATCCAGACTTAATAAACTCATCAAGAGAGATGGCTCAGTTCTGGGAGTGGACCTGCAGTCTTTGACAGAGGTGTCTGAGCAGAGAATGCTGAAATGTTGTTGTTTTTGTTGAAACTTGTACTTGTGTATGTAAATAAATGCCTAAAAAACCTAACTTTAATATATGTAAATAGTTTATTTTTTAGACATTTATTTTATAGAGTTACAGCTGTTTGTTAATAAATGTGCCTGTGTGACAACTGGAACAAAGCTTTGACTCAGAAATATATATTTGTTATTACTTTATGGAAAGAAAAATATATCGAGATATATATCGTATATCGCGATTTATCTTAAAATATTGTGATATTCATTTAGGCCCATATCGCCCAGCCCTAATTGCACATCACAAGCTTTACTAATATTGCATAGTCCTACTGCTTACTGTCCAAATTATTTGCCAGATTGTTCTGCAGTATTTTGGTGAAAAGGGCCTTCCTCATCTTTCAACTTTAATGCGACCCGAACCGTAAGGACCCCCTTCACAAATGTTAAATCAAAATGACCGGCTCAGCACCGTGATGTGTGTTGTTACTTTCATTGGCGTTTTGAGTTATCTTGGTGATGTAATTTGCAAACAAAGACACCATTTTTCTCATTGGAAACACTGACAGAACTCTTCACAGCCTCTAACCGACACAGTCACATGACCTCAAGGGAAGAGGACTCTGAACAAAACTCAATGTGTCATCAACAAACTCTTCCTACCGCCACATCTTTAAGATACACATATTATTTATGAAAACGTAGGCATTTTGTCATCTAAATTTTAAAATGGCCACCATGTGGCAGTCCCCATCAAAGTTTCTCCAGGAACTTTCTAGTTCCAGCCTCTTCTCCAGGTGGTATCAGCTTTAGTGATTTTAGGCCTGACTCTTTACAAGAGTTTGTCCAACATGGCCAGCTCCATGTGCAGGGACTTGCTGAAGCCATCCTCATCGTCCTGCTTCCTGCATCAGCTGGCTGTAGACACCAGACTGTAACCCTCTCTGTTGTGCCAGCTGGACACAGACCCACAGTCATGGCCTCCTTGTAGTTCGAGGAGAGTGCTTAGTGATCTTTTAGGAGGGCACCATGTATCAAAGTCCTGTTGTTTCTTTTTTGACAGTCAGAAACTGATGGAAATGCAACAGAATCAACTCATATTCATGCCCTGAGACTCATGGTCTCCCTTTATGTAGATGTGCAGCCTCCATGCCACACGTTGATGCTGGAGCACAGGATGCTCTCCACTGCACGTTTTCTTCACATTGATGTGAAGGTTATTCTCTTTGCACCTGCTCTCCAGGTGTTCCACCTCCTGCCTTTAGCTGGACTCATCATTGCTTGTGATGCATCCCACCATCGCTGTATCATCTGCAAAACTTTATAATATGACAGCCTGGATGGGTCGGTGCACAGTCATACATGAGCAGAGTAAACAGGAGAGGGCTCAGCACACAGCCCTGAGGACAGCCAGTGCTGAGGGTTATGGTGGAGGAGGAGAAGTTGTGGATCCTCACTGACTGTGGTCTGTTTGTTAAGAAGTCTAGGAGAAGTCTAGGACCCAGTTGTAAATGGAGGGACTTAGTCCTAGTGTGAATAGTTTGTCCATCAGGGTTTGGGGGATCGTGGTGTTGAAGGCAGACGTGAAGTCCACAAAGAGCATACGAACGTAGGAGTCCTTCTGCTCCAGGTGGGTGAGAGCAGTGTGGACCACAGAGGAGATAATGAAGCAGATCCCTCAGCTCTTCTTACAACTCATCCTTGTCCAAAGATCCTTCTTGACAGCAGCAGAATATGAGTTTAAAGTAAAGGCCTAGCAGCTTTTCGCCCTTTCATGTCAGGGCGTTTAAGATTATCTGATGATGAGAATAGACAGAATTACAGCCCTTTTAGCCAAATGTGGTAAATGATCTGCACAGTTTCATGTCTTATTTATTTAGCCTGCATTAAGATCACAAATCTCTTTTTCAAGGGAGGCCTGGCCCTGAAGGCAGCCTAAACATGCATGTTTGAACTGTGGGAGGAAATCCATGAAAACACAAAGAAAACATGTAAACTGCACACAAGACACCAGGGCCTGAACCCTGGACCTTCTTACTGTGAAGCAGCTGTGCTAACTAAGCCACCGTGCTGCCGAGGGACAGTTTCTTTTCACAAAGATGGCTTCACTCCTCTCTCACACAAGAGATTGGGCCAAAAGAATGGCCCAGCACCAGGGCCAACACTCAGTATGTGTTGTGACTGACGGTCAGCTACTACCACCCCAAATCTTAGATAAATGTCTGTAAAATGGAAAGAGTTATAGCCATTTTGTTTTCTGCAATCAGTTGGCTGTGGCAGCCAACTTAAATTGGATTAACTTCAAAATGGAGTCATTTGTTGATGTATATCCAATGATTATGTTCTGAATGTTTCATTAAAATTTGTCCATGAGATATTTTGCTAACACTACCAACAAAGTCTGCTTTGACAGTTTGCCCTGTCTTAAAGCCTGTCTTCTCTGATCTCAGGTCAGTCTGCGGAGGCTGCCAGTGACTTGGGCCTGGCCTACATGAAGTCCAGAGTGGGGGGGCTGGGAGGGGTGGTGACGGTGGACCCTAAGGGAAACTGGGCCGCTCGTTTCTCCAGCAAGCAGATGTCATGGGCTGCAGCCCAGAGCGGCATGCTGCACCACGGTCTGTACACCGGAGAACACTTCACCCAGAACGTGGAGGAGCCGCACTGACTGCAGCTTCCAGTGCGTCACTCACATTCACTTTTAGACTCTATACACTTCAAATAAAAGTAAATGTTCCTGATCAAATCTGCTTTAATGTCAATATTAGGACTAACATGAACTGACTCCAACTGTAAGAAGCTTCACATCAGTCTGTGTTCATCAGTAATTATAAATATATGAGTTGTTTCTAATTGGCTTTTACAGCTACAGTACATTTCCTCCTCCTGACGACTGCCACCTGATCATTCGATCATTCTTTAAAATGTGAAGGAAAACTGTATTTTTCCACATACTGTGAGTTTTCAAACCAAAACTACCTGGATTTACATGTTTGTTAAAAAACAGCTAAATATTTGCTGCTCATCTCTGAAGATCACTGTTCAGTGATAATCTGTGAAAGGCGAGTCCAGCTGAGCTGAAGGTTTCAGCGCTTTGTGCTCCAGGTTGTATTTAATGAACATGACTTCTGTTTCCTCTCCCTGTTGTTGCACTTTAACTCACATGCCATTAGTCATTTGTCAAAGTATTGACATGGTTCTGTTCATCATTTGGTGATTGTTCCTTGTATTAAAACTGAAGGATCTGATCCCAGATCAGTGTCAGTTTCAGCATTACCTCCTAAGTCTCCTCAAAGGGCCAAGTGTTCATTTGTTTCTGTGTTAATTCTGTTAATCTGTGGAGTAATATTCGGTTCTGTCCACTTGATGGCAGTGTTTTAGCAGAAATAAAAACTGAACAAAATGAACATTTCAGTCTGTTGTTTGTTCTTTGTGTTTCCTGAGCGTGTGGATTAAGGTGATTAAATGAAACCACTAATGGGATAAAACATGTGAATTATCAGCTCCACAGTTCCTGTGATCAGCTTTATTTTACCTTTACAGAATTAGAAAACAAAAGTCAGTCTGACGTCTCAGCCTTGTTTTATTTCGTTTTATTATTATTATTATTATTATTATTATTATTATTATTATTATTATTATTATTATTATTATTATTATTATTATT